TCCAGGTGAGCACGTCCAGGTGGGCGTGGTCCAGCTAGCTTGGTCCAGGTGGGCGTGTCCGTCTGGGCGTGGTCTGGGTGGGTGTGGTCAGGTGGGCGTGTCCAGCTGGTCATGGTCCAGGTGAGAGCGTCCAGGTGTGTCCAGGTGACTGAGTCCAGGTGAGCATGCCCAGGTGTGTCCAGCTGTGTCCAGGTGAGTCCAGGTGAGTCCAGGTATGTCAAGGTGTGTCCAGGTGAGTCCAGGTGTATCAAGGTGAGTCCAGCTGTGTCCAGCTGTGTCCTGGTGAGTCCACATGTGTCCAGGTGAGTCCAGGTGAGCCTGTCCAGGTGAGTCCAGGTGTGTCCAGGTGCGTCCAGGTGAGTCCAAGTGAGTCCAGGTATGTCTAGGTGAGTCCAGGTGAGCCTGTCCAGGTGTGTCCAGGTGAGTGAGTCCAGGTGTGTCAAGGTGTGTCCAGGTGAGTCCAGGTGTGTCCAAGTGTGTCCAGCTGTGCCCAGATGTGTCCAGGTTAGTGAGTCCAGGTGTGTCAAGGTGTGTCCAGGTAAGTCCAGGTGTGTCCAAGTGTGTCCAGCTGTGCCCAGATGTGTCCAGGTTAGTGAGTCCAGGTGAGTCCAGGTGAGTCCAGGTGAGTCCACATATGTCAAGGTGTGTCCAGGTGAGTCCAGCTGTGTCTAAGTGAGTCCAGCTGTGTCCAAGTGCGTCCAGGTGAGTCCAGGTGTATCAAGGAGTGTCCAGGTGCGTCCAAGTGCGTCCAGGTGAGTCCAGCTGTGCCCAGGTGTGCCCAGGTGTGTCCAGGTAAGCCTGTCCAGGTGCGTCCAGGTGTGCCCAGGTGAGTCCAGGTGTGCCCAGGTGTGCCCAGGTGTGCCCAGGTGAGTCCAGGTGAGCCTGTCCAGGTGTGTCCAGGTGAGTGAGCCCAGGTGAGTCCAGGTGAGTCCAGCTGTGTCCAAGTGTGTCCAGGTGAGTCCAGGTGTATCAAGGTGAGTCCAGGTGTATCAAGGTGCGTCCAAGTGTGCCCAGGTGCGTCCAGGTAAGCCTGTCCAGGTGAGTCCAGGTGTGCCCAGGTGCGTCCAGGTGTGCCCAGGTGCGCGCAGGGGGGGGGGTGCTCAGAGGCGCCGGATCTTCATCTCGCTGCGTTTCAGCGAGTAGTAGAATCCTTTCCACTGGGCCCAGTTGATGCCGTTGGCGTAGGACAGGTGAGGCCCGGCCAGGTAGAAGCCGTTGAGGTTGGAGAAGTGGCAGCTGCGGAACCACCAGGCCCCCGAGGAGAGCGCGGCGCAGTTCTGGGCAAACAGGTCCTGGTCGCGGTCGAAGGTGGAGAATTTCTGCCCGTTGTGGTAGCTCAGAGAGTCACCTGGGCGAGGGGGGGAGGGGAGGGTGGGACACGGC